AAAGCACAGATGGGTCTTTGAACCATGTTAAATACACAAGTTACCAACTTAACCATAAAGATTAAGCAAACAGTATCCATCCTCACTCCAATTGAAAACCAGACGACAATCTGAACCAGAATCGCGACCCATCATTGTTAATAAATACTGACATTATTTACCTTTAAAGAATATCTACACGGCCGGGCCGAAGCATCAAAGAATAATTATGGCATCGATTTCGCTCCAAAACAAAATTCCTAGCCGGGATATCAGATCAAATAATCACAAGAAGTCAAATAATAAGTACGGAATTAAAGTAGAAGAGAAATCAAGGGCGGAGAAGGCTCTCAAAATTAACCAAACACAACACCCATGGGAAGCGAGCAACACGGCCGCCTTTGTCTTTCCGAGAGGATCACGACACACAGGCACCAAGCCAGGAAATGACACCCATAAAAGTTGGGGCAAGGGCTCAAAGGAAATTAACACACGCCTTCGAATAAATAAGCATACGCCGGGTGCTCCCACCGTGGAAACAACCGCCTTTGTCTTCCCACAACACGGACAGCAAAAATTGCACAAGCCAGGAAATGACATTTCCATGGGAGATCGGGTCACGATGAAACATCGTGAACACGGTTTCGGCATAACCAAGCAGCAAATAAGTCGCATTTCAACTTCCAAACCAAACCAACTTAAGCTGTGTGAGACAAAGGATGTGATCCCAGAGCAAGGGAGTGAATAGTTAAGCTCGCTTAACGCGTAGGTTTTCGCGACAAATATTATTCAGTAACAAAACATGGATTCGAATGTTTTTTTTTAACTCAACGCGAATCATCGGTCTGGCTAATGGATAACTTCTGAAGCAGCCGACACGAGGCCCCCACCCCCTTTCTTCCAGAACGACACACACAGCTGTGTCTTCAAAGCTAATAAACACACGGACAAACACGCACGCGAAAACACACGGACGGACACACACACGGACGCAGATGGTCCACCCCCACAGGAAGGTTTTATGACACAGCTTTTGAACAACTCGGGAAGCCGAGTGGAATTTTCCGATATAAACCGAAGGAAAATCCATACAACTCAGTTCGTCAGGGGCTCTGGCCCCCATCAGAGATATCATCCGGGCTACGAGCCCATCTTCGGCTCCACCACAGATCTTCACGAGCTCCGGCCTACATCTCATCTCGTCTCCGGGCTAAGGCCCCACCAGAGTTCTCCAGGGCGACAACCATCTCTCCTCGTCGCCGCCAACGAAGAAGCTCCTGTCATTCAGAATGACGAGGGTCGCGGAGTAGCGACGCGTAGCTACAAGCCGAGGTCTGCACCACCTGAGAAGAATCGCTACCCTGAGTCGCAGAGCTGCGAGTGAAGCCAACAAAGACGCCAACGTCCACCCTGCCACGAACGAAGCATCGCTCCTCGTCAGAGTGACGACCAGCGAACAACCCGCAGGAAAGGCGGAGATCGCTGAACGAGCGCCAACTTGCGCCACCGTGCGCCACCGTGCGCCACCGTGCAACAACGTGCGCCACCTTGCGCCACCGTGCGACACCGAGCGACAACGAGCGACACCCAGATCGACCAGCATCAACCCAAACCGACTCGTCATCCCGCCGTGGAGAAAAAGAGTCAAAGTCTTCTGAACGAGCGCCGCCGCTCACCTCACAGCGGAGAAAGTCTCAGCTGCCGCTCGCACAAACAACAGAGGTCGTATCGCTCCCCACATACAGACTCAAGAAAACACAGAGAAAATCTTGTCAAACCAGTTTCCTTTGTCCCAGAATCTCGCCGAAGAATTAATTAAAACAGAGCCAGATTCGCTCTCGCGCCCACACGCCCTCACCCACCATTGTATCAAACATTCCGTTAAAAAGGATTTTAGACTTGCCGATGAATCTATTGACATATACTTTCGCCTCTGGGATACAATAAGTGCTTTTTATTACCGCCATATGAAGTGTGTCATGCTTGTTTTCAAACTCGACCAGTCGCCGATTGTGATCAATACATGGGCGAACTAATGATGCCTGGTAGGAAAAGTAGAGGTTACAATTGATAGAAGTGTTTTTAGTCATTCAGTTCGTTAAATGCATAAGTGTTTATTCATTCATTTTAGTCAAATGCATAATCTCGTAATTGCATAAGAGTTTTGGTTATTCATATTAGTTAATGCATAATATCGCAAATGCATAAGAATTTTAGTTATTCAATTTAGCTAAATGCATAAGTGTTTATTCATTCATTTTAGTCAAATGCATAAGAGTTTCGTTATTCATATTGCATAATTGCATAATTCACAACTGCATAAGTTTTTGTCGTTCATATTAGTTAATTGCATAATCTTGCCCATGAATTATTGACGCATGTTTGACCTGCATGATAGAATGTCACGTGCTTGTTAGAATAAAATTGTATCACAGAAGCATATGAGTGTTCTTTCCAAGTCCATGCAAAACCATCTTATTCATAAGAGCTGTATCCTGCGATGAGATATGAAAATGGAGACCTAAAATATTATAACACACACTAGGATAATCGGTAAATGAATCTATGATAATCGTGTTATCCTGATTGATAACTCTGGATAAACGAAACTAAGCAAATTATCATAACTGCACACATTAACATAATCGCAAGCCTCCGCATAAATTACTACGATTATCTCCGTGATCATATAATTTATGCATATAATCACACGCATTATCATAATTTATGCATATTAATACACACATTATCATAATTAATGCGATTTGCGCATTTTTCGGAAAATTATTAATTTTTATTATTTTCATCAAAATTTCATAACCTGACACATACAACACTCCCTCGTCCCCCCCCCCCCTCACCGTTCTCGCGAGCTTCTCCTCTGGAAGAAGACTTGCAATGGTGTGCTCCTGTTCCAGCCGTCAGAATTGCGCACGCTCGCGAGCAAATCTCTCACACACGTGCGCGTGCTCGGCAAGGGTGTTAGATGGGGGATATGGGCAGTTCGCATCTGGCTGCCACCACGTTGTGCTTGTCAGATACTGCTGAACTTTCTCGGCGGCGAGGTCATCGATGATCTCGGCAGTGTATCCCAGGCGTACGCTCTGTGTTAGCAAGCGTGATTTATTTTAGTGTCCGCTCACTGAGATCTGAAGTGAGAAGTTCACATCGTGGTTATTGTTGTCGTGGTGGTAGTTGTTTACCCAGGTAGAGCCTCGCTCCTTCTTTGTCTTGTAGGGAGGCCGCTTTGGATTGCACCACTCTTCGATTTCACATTAACATGCTAATTTATTACATTAACATCACTAGCCCCGGCCACTTCCTTATGACCCTTGGGCTACACCCATTTCAAACCTTTTACAACAGTCTGCCTCAGCAGCAGACCATGCATTTTCTAGCAGAGTGTTTTGTTTGCTTTCTGACCACAAGTATTGTGGTTAATGCACACATGATTCCTTATTTGGAATACAGTACAGTACTTATTTCAATTGTGATGTTTATTTTAGTTGCCGTTAACCTAACCCCATTATTTAGGTAATGCTTAAGTATAATGATGTATTTTGAGAAGCTCACAATGGCCCTATACAAAATTGCATTTCATGCAGTAACAATGATACGCTAATCGATGCCTGGTTATAGTCAAGGGATCGTCCCCTGCTGGTCAACCATGTTACGCATGTTGATGATCTGGTCATGGCTACTCAATGATATTGAGTTGGAGAATCGTGTTCTATACCTGGAGAATTCCATGACGAAATGGGGCCTTGCATATGTTCTACAAAAAGATCACCTCCCTGGGAAAATCTTGACTTAAAGCTTTCGTAACTGCAGGAATTCATATTCTTTGGGTCTTTCGGTTAAGTGACGTGACTTTACCGAAAGACCCAAAGAATACCTCCCTGGGAATTTAATGTCATACAACACTGCACCTGCTCAGCTCTCCATGAATAATCAGGTCGTTTTACACGTGGTGGAGGAGCGCCTATACCAGGTTAATGTGTTCATGACCTTATTTGGCATCCAAAGTGTCACTTCAAATTAGTCTAGCAGCATTCTTTCATTAGGCTCTGTAGCACTATGTGGAAGCTGCCTGGACTTTTTTACATACAAAGCTGTGAGTGTCCATCGCCAAGGTCTAGTCCATTGCAAAGGTCTTGTCTATAAAACAGGCAATAGTCTACATTATAGACTGCCAATACACTCACCGAGGTTAAGAACCAGGCTACATTCTACATTATAGACTGCCAGTATGTTCACCGAGGTTAAGAACCAGGCTACAGTCTACATTAGTCGTTTTTTTTCTTCTATTCAATTTATTTGTATTATTATTTTATATCTACGTGACTTTACCGAAATAACCAAAGAATATGAATGCCCGCTATCACAAAAGTTTTAAGTCAAGATTTTCCCAGGGAGGTGATCTTTTTGTAGAACATATGCAAGGCCCCATTTCGTCATGGAATTCAACAGGTACAGAACAAGATTTTATAAGAATGGAAACAGTCAGGAAATTAACAATGCACATATGCAGCTTAAGTTAGATCTGTTCATCCTCGCATTCAAGCTCATCTGAGCCTGGCTTCAGACCTTTAAGTTGCAAATGAACATTAATTTATACATTTCTGCATAATACAAATAGTATCAACAGCCTTTGCTATGTTAGCTAATTTTTCTTAAATAAATATTCCTGTCATAGCTAGACAACCGAAATTGTGTGCTTGGAGTTTTTGGTAAATATTAATTTTGAAGACACTTGGGTGTCCAGTCATATTTATGACCATTTGCCCTCTCATTGTGTGCCTTAGCAGCCCGTGTGATGAATTAGGGAATCTCTTTCACTATTTCATGAAAATATGAATATATATAGATGTGTAAGTCATGTGTGACTGTATATATGCATTCCTCTGTGCCTCAATACTCACGGAGATGGTGTGGATATGTTTTTCTGTCTGCAGCTGATGCTCGCTCTGCAGAGTTGGTCTGATGGAGCAAAGGCACTCAGCGCAGCTCGGTACAAGAAGGAAACAATGCGACCAGAATGCAAACAGCATGGATCGTACTGGAAACTTGACACAGCACCAGAGAACACACACAGGAGAGAAACCTTTTAAGTGCAGTGTGTGTAAAAAGGTGTTTGCACGGTCATCCATTCTTAAATCACACCAGAGAACACACACAGGAGAGAAACCTTTTAAGTGCACTCTGTGTGAGAAGGCATTTGCAATGTCATCAAATCTTAAGATCCACCAGAGAACACACACAGGAGAGAAACCTTTTAAGTGCACTCTGTGTGGGAAGGCGTTTGCACAGTCATCAACTCTTCAGACCCACCAGAGAACACACACAGGAGAGAAACCTTTTAAGTGCAGTGTGTGTAAAAAGGTGTTTGCACGGTCATCCATTCTTAAATCACACCAGAGAACACACACAGGAGAGAAACCTTTTAAGTGCACTCTGTGTGAGAAGGCATTTGCAATGTCATCAAATCTTAAGATCCACCAGAGAACACACACAGGAGAGAAACCTTTTAAGTGCACTCTGTGTGGGAAGGCGTTTGCAATGTCATCAAATCTTAAGACCCACCAGAGAACACACACAGGAGATAAGCCCTTCAAGTGCAGTGTGTGTGGGAAGGCATTTTTTTATTCATCTACTCTTAAACAACACCAGAGAACACACACAGGAAAGAAACCTTTCAAGTGCACTGTGTGTGAGAAGGCGTTTGCACAGTCACCACATCTTCAAAGACACCAGAGAACACACACAGGAGAGAAACCCTTCAAGTGCACTGTGTGTGGGAAGGCGTTTACACAGTCATCACATCTTAAAAGACACCAGAGAACACACACAGGAGAGAAACCCTTCAAGTGCACTGTGTGTGAGAAGGCATTTTCATGGTCATCATATCTTCAGACCCACCAGAGAACACACACAGGAGATAAGCCCTTCAAGTGCAGTGTGTGTGGGAAGGCATTTTTTTTTCATCTACTCTTAAACAACACCAGAGAACACACACAGGAGAGATGCCCTTCAAGTGCAGTGTGTGTGGGAAGGCATTTTTTAATTCATCTACTCTTAAACAACACCAAAGAACACACACAGGAGAGATGCCCTTCAAGTGCAGTGTGTGTGAGAAGGCATTTTCAGATTCATCTACTCTTAAACAACACCAGAGAACACACACAGGAGAGAAACCTTTTAAGTGCACTCTGTGTGGGAAGGCATTTGCAAAGTCATCAAATCTTCAGACCCATCAGATAATACACACAGGAGATCAACCCTTCAAGTGCAGTGTGTGTGGGAAGGCATTTTTGTATTCATCTACTCTTAAACAACACCAGAGAACACACACGGGAGAGCAACCTTTTAAGTGCACTCTGTGTGGGAAGGCGTTTGCAAAGTCATCAAATCTTCAGACCCATCAGAGAATACACACAGGAGATAAACCCTTCAAGTGCCGTGTGTGTGGGAAGGTATTTTCAGATTCATCTACTCTTAAACAACACCAGAGAACACACACAGGAAAGAAACCTTTCAAGTGCACTGTGTGTGAGAAGGTGTTTTCAAAGTCATCAAATCTTAAAAAACACCAGAGAACACACACACATCAGAAAATCCACAAGAAGTGTAATCTGAAATCAGCTTGTGAAAGTCAAAGTGCTGCAATGACCCCATTGTTCATGAAACAAGAACCAGAAGACAACCCCAGCCTGGACACTTTGAAAGGTATCAAGGTAAAATATGAAGAGGCGAAGGTGAAATGTGAAGAAGTAACAGTGAAGAGCGTAGAAGTGAAGGTTAAATTTGAAGATTCAACTCCAAAATCGGACCTTCACATAGATGGAGGCAGTGTGAAGCAGGAACTAAATTCTGGCTGTGAGGCAGAGCGAGGCAACTTCCAGGAGTTTGTGGATGTGGAGGTGTGGGTGGACTTCTTAGACAATACAAAGTCAAATGGAGACCAGGTAGATGTGCAAGCTTAAGACAATTAAGCACCAATGGATGCATCTTTGTCACATGCCTTTCTAATGAATATAATATGAAGTTGAACACTCAATTTCTCGGTTCAAACTGCAGTGTAAGAATGGCCAGTATTTGTGAACCTGTGGGTTTGGGCGATCTCTAACCAGGAGTGACTCAAGTGTTTTGTATCATATCTCATCTTAGACACTCGATGGGTGCCCATAATGGGCATCTGTCCCTGTGTGCCACAAGGTGACCGTTCACTGGCCTGCATGTGGATAGGATTTTGTAAGTCGGGGGCGATGATTGATATGCCAGTCGTATTTGAACCTTGAACCTCTGCAACAAATAGAGAATGTACTACTACTTGGCTTCCCTCTATAAGAGTGCTGCACATATAGGCCTAATCTCGTCAGAGATCAACTTGTAAATACATTGTAACGTGATGCAGTACATTTCATTTTTTGATTATTTTAAATCATAATTGAAAGAAACTTGTCTGTTTTTGTACGTACATGCAACATTTTGTGTATTAATGTCAAACATGGAATATGTGATGTCCGGACAAAGTATCTGTTTTGGTGGTAACCTGTACAAAAACTCACGTGAGAGCTGTTATTTTTGTGATAGGGGTCAAATGGTATTTTTGTGAATCAGGACGCATCTGACTCTGGGGCAACTCATTGTCTTTGAAATCGGAAGCATAGTCGGATCATTCATCTAACATTTAAGACAAATTTTTTGTCTGTCTGTCTCTCTGTCCGTCCGTCTGTCCGTCTGCATACGCTCGCGGGGGATATGGCTCTCGGACCGTGGGGTTTGTCGAGACAGTTTTTTTGCCGGGAGGCACGCCCCGAGCCCCGCGGTGGGAATAGGCATTTCCGTTTTTCGTCCCTAAACTTTAAAGCGATTTAATTATCGATTTAGTGCGATTTATCTTTATTTATTTATTTAGCACGCCGTTGCGCGAGACGCTGACCGAGGGTTGCCCTTGGCAACGGGCAGCGCGCCGTCACTGCAGGGTGGACGCCATTTCTCACTCGCGTTAAAAATATGCGCACACATTTACACGCCACGCTGAGGTAAATACATCAAAGTTTCACGTCCTCGTCTCTCCCCCCACCCCAATGTGTGCAATTACTATTATAGGGTCGGTAGATAATATTATAGAGATTAGACAGTATTATTCTAGCGCGGGGGCGGGGGGGGGCGGTGGTGGTAGCGGCCCAGCCCCCAGCCTCGCCCGGCTGGGCAATCTAGGCGAGGCCGGAGGCTCTGCACGGGACTAGGCCTCGACACCCCATTCTTGTTAGAGTCGATATACCCAGCGTTGCCCGGGGGAAAAATACATTTAAAAACTTCTGAAAACTTTAAAACATAACATAGCAATGAAAATAAAACTCAGTAAATTAAAATAAACCCGAGCGCGCCACGAATCGATTCTTAAAATAGACTGTACAAATAGTTATTAAGCTGGGTGAGTGTACTGACAGTCTATGATGTAGACTGTAGCCTGGTTAAGCTGGGTGAGTGTACTGGCAGTCAGTAATGTAGACTGTACAAATTGTTATTAAGCTGGGTGAGTGTACCTGCAGACTGTAGCCTGGTTATTAAGTAAAGTAGCAGGTACCACCACAGTCAGTATGCACTGCTGTAATCATAGCAGGTACCACCACAGCAGTATGCACTGCTGTAATCATAGCAGGTACCACCACAGCAGTATGCACTGCTGTAATAGCAGGTACCACCACCACTGTATGTACTGCTGTCATCATAGCAGGTACCACCACAACAGTATGTACTGCTGTCATCATAGCAGGTACCACCACAGTATGTGCTGCTGTCATCATTGCAGGTACCACCACAGTATGTACTGCTGTCATCAGAGCAGGTACCACCACAGTCAGTATGCACTGCTGTAATCATAGCAGGAACCACCACAGTCACTATGCACTGCTGTCATAATAGCAGGTCCCACCACCACTGTATGTACTGCTGTCATCATAGCAGGTACCACAGTATGTACTGCTGTCATAGCAGGTACCACCACAGTATGTACTGCTGTCATCATAGCAGGTACCACCACAGTATGTACTGCTGTCATCATTGCAGGTACCAGCACAGTATGTACTGCTGTCATCAGAGCAGGTAACACCACAGTCAGTATGCACTGCTGTAATCATGGCAGGTTCCACCACCACAGTATGCACTGCTGTGATCATAGCAGGTACCACCACAGCAGTATGCACTGCTGTATTCATAGCATGTACCACCACAGTCAGTATGCACTGCTGTAATCATAGCAGGAACCACCACAGTCACTATGCACTCCTGTCGTGAAAGCAGGTCCCACCACAGTATGCACAGCTGTCGTCATAGGATACCACCACAATCAGTATCCACTGCTGTAATCATAGGTACCACCACAGTCAGTATGCACTGCTGTAGTCATAGCAGGTGCCATCACTGTCAGTATGCACTGCTGTAGTGATAGCAGGTACCACCTCAGCCGGTATGCACTGCTGTAGTGATAGTAGATACTGCTATCGAGTTGGTAGATACTGCGAAATCGAGTTAGTAGATACTAAAACAGTCAGTATATACCATTACAGCTCGGTCAATACTGCTACAGTCAGCATATACTACTATACAGTCAGTACATACTAATACGGTGAGTAGCTATTAGAGTCTGTAGATACTACTATAGAGTGAGTAGATCTTGCTATAGAGTTAGTAGTTACTACTATAGTCAGTGGATACTACTATAGTCAGTGGATACTACTGTAATAACAGCCATGGAGGGCTCACGTGGTGATTGGCTTGCCGGTCCCGCTTTGTAGCCAATAAAGGGGCGAGCCAAGGAGCATGGCCTCGGCGTGATCACGGCATGAGCACGGCATGTTAGCAGGGGTGATTGGCCTGGCCAATCGGGGCCTCAGCTAATGGGAAGCCGGATCAGAGGCGTGGTCCCGGGATTGACGGGGAACCATCTGGAACGGTCAACGCTGACTACGGAGGATTGGCTCAGGGGTACCACGTGACCCAGGGATTAAGAGGAGGAGAGAGGAGTCCGGGAGCAGACCTGGGAACGAAAAGAGCAGGAGTCACGCGCGTACGGGGCTCTGGGTGCCACGTGCGCGGTGGGGACTTAGCTGGCAGTCTGCCCGCTTTCCGTTGTCTGTCAGCAACGGGGAGTGTGTGTGTGTAACTGTGGAAGTTGGAAAATAAAAGGACTGATTCCGGAAGCCGTCTCGAGAAGGTTTATTGCATTGGTGTCAGAAGCTCTTCTGCGACCGTTTGGACGATCGTCAAGATGTCCAACCACCTCAGAAAGAAGAACCCGCCCGAGCCTCCATCGGAGGAAGAGGCCGAGACGGACGAAGATGATCTGTTGGGGGCTACGGCTCCTCTGCCGCCGGCTGCTACTGGTCTCCTCGACGCCTCTCAGCGTCGACTGGGAGAAGATACGACCACCTCAGGGACGAAGGACGGATGGCGGCTGATGGCGGAGCAGATCGAGTCGTTACGCGCCATTCTGCTGAGTCTGGTGACCGCGGTGGCGTCCTCACCAGCCGTGGGTCGCCAGATAGCGGATCAGCTCGACGCCGCGGATAGAGGTCCTACACACGAATCGGCGTCCGCCATTGCTCCTGCTACGCGGGAGGAGGCCGACGTTTTGGGCGGGGCGGCAGCACCGGAGCCGTTTGGCGCCATTTTGGCGCGCCTGCCGCCACGCGGCCGCCGGACGCCATTTTGCTTGCGACGGGTGGAGCGCGGGATCCGAAGTCGGAGACGCCCGCGGCGCACGCCTGCCACCGCGCGCACACCGTGTGTGTGTACACAGTTTGTATACAGGGGCCGTCCATAAATGACGTCACGCGATTTTGGACGATTTTGACCCCCCCCCCCACTCCGTCACACGACGTCACAAAAAGTCAGACCCCCCCTCAAATATGACGTCACAAAGCTCTGCCCACCCCCCCCAAAAAACATGCTTCAAATCGCTTTAAATTATTGTCATCGTAGTGCGTATTTAAAGTGGCGCTACACTCTGATGTTGTAAGAGAAAACATTTATTAAAAAGTCTTTAATGAAGTCGAACGTGTTTATATTTATTTAAGTTGCGCATTTTGATGTGACGTCACATTTATCACCCCCCCCCACTATCGCCCATCGTCACACATCGTCACAAATGTCTGACCGTCCCCTCCCCAGTTGCGTGACGTCATTTATGGACGGCCCCACACACTGTTTACACAGTTTGTACACACACACACTGTATACACAGTTTGTACACACACACAGTGTATACACAGTTTGTACACACACACACTGTATACACAGTTTGTACACACACACACTGTATACACAGTTTGTACACACAGTGTTCAAGTTGTTGAGCTCGCGCACCCAAAGGGTCAATGTTCAATAGAGGGATCAATGGAATAGGAATCCTAATGAACTTAAACTGTAACCCCGCTCTCTGACGTCACCACTGCATTACCTCATCGGCGTGAGGGGGAGGTGTACCCCGCTAGTGACGTCATGTCACCTGCTGCCGCGTGACGTCACGAGACACCAGGAAGCTGCCGGTCTCCGCGCGCGCGCTCACTGAGATCCGAGGTGAGAAGTTCACATCGTGGTTGTTGTTTACCCAGGTAGAGCCTCGCTCCTCTCGTAGGGATATCAATTGAGTAGCAGCGAGGATGGAATCGATGTCCAGGCTGGAACATTACAACGCGGGGCCTAGCCATGCGGGGCCTTGCCTCCTGCCCTCGCCTGATTGCATTTGCTTTAATTCTCTGCTCAAGTTTAATTTGTCTTCATCTGGCTCACTACTCTGAAACTTTGTTTCTTTTAAATATTTCGTTTTTTTTATTTTCCTACCAGGCCAAGCCCACTTCAGCTGCTATACCGCTCTTGTTTTCAGAAGCGACCAGCCCACAACAAAGTGGCTTATCAACGTGTGGAAATGTCTGTCGGTCAAATACTCTAAACGCGTGGTGATGTTGACTCTTAATGTGGAGGGGAAAACCCTGAGGATCCGGAGGAAAATCCACGCGACCACTGGGAGAGAGAGAGACACGCAAACTCCAAATATACAGGAGGGGTCGCGATCGAACCCACCACCTGCTGTA